CAAACTTGCTGAGGGTGCACTCGATCCCACTGTCTATGTCATTGATGAAGATATTAAACAGTACTGGTGCCAATATGGACCCCTGCGGGATGCCACTCATCGCCAGACTCCATCTGGACATTGAACTGTTGACCACTACGCTTTGGATGCGACCATCCAAACAATTCCTCACCCACCGGACAGTCCACCCATCCAATCCATACCTCTCCAATTTAGATAGAAGGATGTTGTGGGGGACCGTGTCAAAGGCCTTACAGAGGTCCACATAGATCACATCTGTAGCCCTTCCCGTGTCCACTGACGTAGTCACTCCATCACAGAAGGCCAGTAGGTTGGTCAGGCAGGACTTGCCCTTGGTGAAGCCATGCTGGCTGTCTCGAATCACCTCCCTGTCCTCCATGTGCCTTAGCATAGCTTCCAGGAGGATCTGTTCCACTGAGCAAGCAGTTCCACTGAGGAAGCAGTTCCAAAACTGCTTGCTCAGTCATTGGCTTCACCAGAGGTGTCTCTCCAAGAAAAGATGATCTGATAGGGGAGACCTTATTGCAGCCTATCAGTACTTAAAGGGGTCTTATAAAAAAGATGGTGGCAAACTCAACAGAGTTTTGGAGTGTTCAAGGAAAGACATAGCAAACATCTGATTCTCGTGCAGAATGAAACTATTGCCTCCAGAGTAAAAATTGGAGCAGTATTGTCTCAGGAGGTTGACTGGCAGAAGTGTGGTCTTCCATACTTGAGTCGGAGAAGGCTTGCTCAACTTCACGGCCCTGATGTTCGTTTAAAGCTGGGTTAAGAGCTTCCCTCTGTCAGAACAGCCTGTTCTCCAGTAGGAGTTACACTTGCTGCTCATGACTTTGGTAAACTGGACATTTGAGCTTACGGTGATTTGGTTTGCTCATTCACCTCTGTATAAAGGTGGTCACCTCAACCAGGGTAAAAAAAAAAAAGATCAAGGCACTAATGGTTTGACTTATTCCATGTGGAGTGGTCTGGAACTCATTAAAATTTCAGTCATATCTGCATTTCATCAGCATTAGGAAATTAATTAATCTGTGTTCTTTCTAAGCTCCCTGTAGTTTCAGTGCTGAGTTGGACAGCAGACAGATCTTAATCTGAATGGGACCAAATTATTTAGACAAACTCCTCTTTCATTCTTTCTGTATCCAGAGGAATGAAAAGCACAGAAAACTCCTTACAAAGACTACTCAGCTGAATAGTCCCTCTACAGGGTTAAGTGAAAGTGCTTTCAGAGATTAAGGTATACTAATCAGAACTGAAAAACATCAGACATCCACAAGCAGCCACCTGGAGTTCCACCTACAATGCCATTGTAAAAGCATCTACTAATGACAGTGTTTCTTAGAGCAATCTTCTTCTTAACATACGCTAACTCCATATTAGCTCTGGATGTGAAGGGGATGCTTCTTGTTATGACCATTAGTATGGGGGTTTATGTATACTGAGAAAAAAAATTAAAGGGCTACTTAACCATTAATCAAAGTTCTTTGAGATGTGTAAGCCATATACCTATTCATCTTCTGTCTCTGGAAGAGGTCCTCATAGAGCTGTTTAGATCTAGAATTATGGGGTTGAGGGGACTACAGAATACATGGTGTGGTCTCCTTTATGTCCCTATGTGCAAAAAGATGAAGCATGAGCGTGCTTCATGAATACTGCTCAAACCATATGGCTTCAAGTACTAACAGCACATGCATCCATAGTGGCAGTGTGCCTATGGGGAGTATATCTTTAAAAACTCTAGCTAGTGCCGAGTAACTTCCTATTTTCTCAGAAACATTCCCGTATCTAAAATTTATATAATTACCACCAGGCATTTCATTATTACATAAAACATTGTGCAGTATGGTTAGTATTTTAGAGTAGTTGATCATTTGGTGAACTAGTTTGTTCAGTCGTTGTTTTATTAGACACTGGTATCCCCCTTCCTCATATGAGATCATACATGGTAACGCTGCTAGACAATAGATTGAAATTTATAGAGTCATTGAAAGCAAATAAAGGAGTTTCCCTTCTTCAAAATGTGCTCCTAATATCTATTCAAAGACCCATCTTCTATCCCCATGACATCCAGATTCTTAAGCAAAAGAATTCCAGTTGACAAAGGAAATGATCCTGCAAGATCCTGTGGTTTTTTTCTTTTTTTTTCTTTAAAGTGGGAGTGAGATTGAGAGGGCAAAAGATATGTCTGTCAGCCACTAGGCATAGCTTGTCAAAAGATTTCTGTTTAACTTGGGGATGTATATGAATGAAGTACATGTGGATATCATATGAGAAAGATAACAACTATAAGAAAAATTAATTTGAAATAAATACAGCCAAATTCTTTTGTAAATTTAAATTACACAAATGTGTATTCTTTCTGTTTTACTGCTTACAGACTACTTTGGGAATATATTGATAAAAATGAAAAGCTACATCTTATTTGCTGCAAGAACTGGCTTGAAAGAATTAGTAAAGCTTCCTGTGTGGATAAGTGGAAAGAAAAACATGGTCCTTTACTTGAATCCATCTGCTAATGTATACATGTTATTAACTGATGGTTCTAGAATATACCACCAGACCTATCCTTTGGAAATTGAAATATTTAGCTCTACATTTAGCTCTGAAGATTCTTGCTCAGTTGTAGCTTTTCAGCACAGCATGGATTTGAATGTCTACTATCTGGACATGGGAGATGAAGTGACATTTTGGTCTTTGAAAGCTTTTGAGAAGAAGGTGGCTGTAAGTACATCTCTGGAAGTCTACTTCTGGCCTACTGGTCTAAGCCAGACTTACTACAACTAGAAAAAAGCAGCAGTTATGAAGTTGCTTATGGAATCTGTGTTAAAAATGAGGTAAGCTTTTTTAAAAGTTTCCTTCAAATATAAGTTTCTTCCTACTATACTTTGCTATACATTTTCATTTTCTGCTATATTTGAGCAATATTTGGGATAGTCCTTACGTGTATGTAGGAGCGGAGAAAGGCTTCTTTCCACAAGCATTCACTGCTATTGAGACTTCACAGCGAAGTATATGCTCACATAGGTCCACGCAGATTAATTTTCTACTAATATAGCTATTATTTAAGTGTATTTCCTGGATTTTATATTCAATAAGAGAAACCATTACTTAAAACTATAAATTAAAATAGCATATTAACTAAATTTCATCATACCAGGTCAGCACTGTGAATTTGTAAATTAACTACACAATTCTGTGATATTAAGAAGGTGGATTTCTTAATAAACATGAACAATTAGTTACATAAGCTGGAAATAATCTGCCCTGATTTAGGCATACGGAACCCGTTTAAGTATCTTTTAAGTGTCTGTCAGCATTTCATCTTGTTTATCTGCCCCTTTCCATTCTGCTGCTGCTATGTTTCATGGGTGTCAACATTTGGATGTCTAATGATCCATACGTATCAAAAGCATCTCTCTTGTGCTTAAACAACCTGCTAATTTAGGTGTCTATACCATAATCGTAGCATGTTTTCCTAGATATCTCAGAAACAAGGCTCCATTATCAAGCCCATAAATGAAGCCCAACCACTACTATAAAAACACTAACCTAAGCATGATTGTTTTGGCAAGGCTTAGGACAGGTCCTGCACTAAAGAGCTAGGAAATACCAAAAGTAAATGGTGTAGAGGAAGAGGATCTGATGAGAGATCAGCTGTTGTTGCCTGCTGGTCATATGACACATGCCTCATCCTCCTAGATGCAGCATTGTGGTTCTCACTGATGAGATGGAGTGGGAAGAGTGTTTCCAGCTCTATCACAATGCCATGATGTATCTTTGCAGCCTTCCTTGAGACAGATTCATTTCCAGTCACGTCACAGACATCACTGTTTTACTCTAATATATGTGAGAATGCCTGGTCATGGAGTGCAGAGTTTGTTCTTGTTGTCTGTGGGAATGTTGTTGAAGGAAAATTCTTGTGATAGTCTGAGATGCTATTTCCTTCCCTGTGTTCTGCCTATGACGAAGAGACAGTTGAGGATTTAAGTAGCTATATAATTCTGCTGTCCCGTGACCTTGGCTCCTTGCTTTTCCTTTTTTCCTTTGTCTTCCTCCCTTTCCAGCTCCCACCCTCTTTCAGGGAATTCTAATCCTCCTCTCTGTGCTTCTTCCCCATGAGAGGCTGAGAATGGGGAACTGACCATGGTGACTGAGTGCTGGAGTGTTTGAAGTAGTGACTGATTAGGAAAAAAGGCTTTCTTTTATCTTCTGGAGCTGACTGTGGAATGGGATTGGCCTTCTGGTAGAGGTGACCTGGTAGCTACCACGCATATGATCACATCCCCTTAAAGACAGCAAATTGTTTCCCTACAGCAGTGTCTGCAGTAGACGCTAGTCATTTTTCTTCTGTGACATGGGGATCTTCAAAGGAAAGTGGAATGTGTGATTCCAAAAAGAAATTATGTTGAATCGCTGAGGGTGTCTGTGTGAAGCAAGGAAAAGACAGGAGATAGGAGTACGGATGCTGAATTGTGCAGTCCTTGCAAGCACATTGCAAGCATGACAGTGCTTTTATTTTCAGATGTTTCAGGAGGGAGCTGCATTGCTTAGGATGAGAGTAGACCTCTCAGGTGCCTTTTCCAAAGGAACAGAGGTGCTGGACCTTGTTCTCACCAACAAGGAGAGGCTGGTGAGGAATGTGGAGCTCAAGGGCAGCCTGGGCTGCAGTGACCACGAAATGATGGAGTTCAAGATCCTTAGGGCACCAAGGAGGGAGCTCACTACCAAGCTCACTACCCTGGACTTCAGGAGAGCAGACTTTGGCCTCTTCAGGGATCTGCTTGTCAGAGTGCCATGGCAAAAAGCCCTGGAGGGAAGAGGGGCCCAAGAAAGCTGGATAATATTTAAGGATCACCTCCTTCAAGCTCAGGAGCGATGCATCCCAGCAAAGAAGTCAGGCAAAAACGCCAGGAGGCCTGCATGGATGAACAAGGAGCTCCTGGACAAACTCAAACACAAAAAGGAAGCCTACAGGGGGTGGAAGCAAGGACAGGTAGCCTGGGAGGAATACAGAG